GCGTTTCAAATGCATGTTGCCGGACTGACTCCTAAAGGTGGTACAGAAGAGTGAAATAGAGACGGAGTGCCGCTACTACACTTCTGTTTACACAACATATTAGTGTACTGGGCTCCTAAGACACAAAATACACTAATCAGCAACCAGTGGGTGAAAGGAATATAGATGTTACTTTGACACCCATGAGCCAGCTAAATAATCTACAGGCAACCCATCGGCCTGCAAAATCTCCAGAGAGCAGTTAATTAGGATTCCCACCCCCCACGATCGATCCAAAGGATCCTCTGCCAGCGTCTCGTGTCCATGCTTTGACATTTAGGTAACCATTGTGGTGCAGGTGGTTTTACTGCTTTGGCTGTTTGGTGTCTGTAATTACAACTTGTCTCCTTTTGAGTGTCAAGTTATAATATACACACATATTATTCATTCCCAGGTATTGCTGGAGATGAATAGTACAACTGAAAGCACTGAAGTTATCAAGGGTATCCTCTGAATTTACAAGCAGCGGGCTAAATTTGTAAATGATTTAATAAAGTGAACATTATAAGATGTATAAGTTAGATTAAAGAGTATTCCTGTGTATTTGTTGATTAATGTTTCTGATGCACACAGCTGGTCATTTTTGCAATAATCTGTTTGTAGATCAGTGGGAAAAGAATAAATAAGTAATCAGTCACTAATTGACTGACTGGATCCAGAGAAGACTGCTTTCTGGTAAATATCAAGGGAACATCAGTCAACGCCTTTGCCATTAGATGATGACATTTCATCTCTGATTATTGACCCAGTTGTTAGTTTACTTTGTACACTTAAGGGCATATTATATTATACTGAGGGACTTTGTTCCCCTGTTTGTTACAATAACAAGTAGCAGCATTTTAATCATTGCAAAAGCCTCCTATTGATGTCCGTTATTTGCATAACATTTGCTCGGAGTTCCCATATTTTTGCATAAATTGTTTCAGCTGCTTACAAAGGTAGTACACTCTCATTGCCTGACATCGTCTGTGGTTTCAGTTCATGCCTTAACATTATGAAATTTAATGAAGGGGAATTTGATAATAATTCATTGGCAATGTTTTATTAAACAGCCCGTGATTTTCACATCCAGCTGCAGGAGCAAAGCCAGGGGACCACTCCACACAACCAATGGTGAAGCCTTTTAGAGGGCTAAATTGCATCTAGTAATTGTGTGACATTTTATCACAATTTTTTTGTCAGTGTTCTGTAAAATTTGTTGTTTGCACATTTTAATGGTGGAAAAACTCATTTAAATTTTAAATTTACTTTACTTTATTGATTTATATAGCACACTTCACAGGATAAAAATCACAAAGTGCTTCACAATAATATAAAACAAATAAGCTTAAAATAGTACAATCAAACATACAGCACAAATCTAATTAACAGCTAGTCTAAATAAGTGAGTCTTAAGATGATCTCAGGATCAAATTATCTCAGGATCTTTATCAACAACCCACATAGCAAAATTGGTATGGTCCGGGTCTGTGTGCTTACACATGGCCCACATACCGCAAAGAATGACGGCCCTTTGGTGGCCCAGACCTGGTTTGTCAAAGGTGGCCCACACATGGGCCAGCACAAGGCCAGTTGCAGACACACTGGTGGTCCT